TCTTTTTTTTTTTTTTTTTTTTTTTTTTTTTTAAAAAGCTTAAAAACAATTATCAATAAGACTAATATTTCTCAATGTATTTTAAAATGCTATTTGAAAAATTGGTATTTATATACATAATTATAAAAATATTAAAATAATAATATATATATTTCTTTATATATATTATGAAAATAAATTACAAGTGGACAAAATGTTGTTATGTTGTAAAATAATTTTATCATCTGTCTAGTTTTAATGATTTTATATAAAGATATTCATGAGCAAAAATATAAAATAAATATTTAAAAAAAAAAAAAAAGAATAAAATCACAATTTGAAAAAATCTTATAAATTAATATACTAATATTTACTATTTTTATTATTTTTTTTTATTCTTTTTTAAACCAATATATATAGAGAAATAACAACTATGGGGATGAAAATGAAAAAAATATAAAATGGTTTTGCTTTATGAAATATATTCGTTTGTTCTATTGTTTTTGCTCTGTGATTTTTTTAGTGGGTACTATCATATTTATTATTATTATTTTTTTTTTTTTAATGAGTTAATATATAAATTCAAATCCATATTCACATTTTTATTTTTTCTTATATACATAACTTCATTTTTTTTTAGGTTTTTCTTATACAATAAATGGAAATAGGGGAATTATTTATTTAGTTTTTTCTTTTTTCCCTAGTTTTTTTTACTTATATTTGTAAAAAAAAAAAAAAAAAAAAAATTTTTTTATTTTACTCTATTAATTTATGTTATTCTTTATTTTTTTAATTCTATTCTATTATCTCTTTTGTTTATTTTAAACCTCAGATTTAAAAGAAAAATAAGAAGAAAAATTAACATTTTGAATATTATTGAAATGATTTTATATGGATCTACTATATCTACTTTTTTTGCGAGCTTTTTAGAATATTTCTTAACATTTTACTTTTTTTATTTTTGTTCCATTTGTCTTATGAAGGAAATAAATGAATCTCTTCTTTTTGTGTGTTCAATAATTTTATTTTTTTGTAACAAAAAAAAAAAAAAAAAAAAATATATTATATATATATATATATATAATCATATTTACAGAATATTTTTTTAAATTTAAATAATTTTTTATCTTTTTTTAAATTCCTATATATATTTATATATATGTATATTTTTTAGATTTTTTTTTCATTATAGCATATGTAGAAGAAATTTCTAAAATTATTCCTATGATTTTTATACATAGAAATATAGAAAGAAATGGAAATGATTATACAGAAATACCATTATTCGATAGAAATACTTATCTAATTGAAAATATATATGAGGAAGAATGCGAAAAAAAAGAAACTAAAATAAAAAAATTTAAATATATAAATGTAAATGACATTTTAGAATTTATATTTTTTTCTTTGTGCTCATCAGCAGGGTTATTCTTAAGTTTTTATCATAAATTAAGAATTCATATATATTTCATTATTTTTTTATACTATTTTTTTTTTTTTTTAATAATTAAAAAATTTCCATCTTTTTTTTCTTATGTCTAACAGGTTCTCAAGTACTGAAAACTTATTTTACTCTTCCCATACAACGAAGGAAAACTTTGTTTCAATTTTAATATTAAGGTAATATAAAAACATTTTATGATTTATTAAAGTATTGCATTTTTTTTTTTTTTTTTTTTCTTTAATAGTTATTTACCTATTTTTAGAAGATAAGTAAATTTATTTTAAAGATCCTATTTTTTCTTTTTTTTTATTTTCATCCAGAAATCTAACATGTGTATTATTTCATATGTGTTGTTCAGGGTTATCTTCTTATAATTTATTTAACTATTTGAATAATAAAAATAGTAAATGTAAAAAAAAAAAAAAAAAAAAATAATAATAAAAATGTATAAATTTAATATATATATATATTTTGTTATTTTTTTTTATTATAAGTTTTTATTATAATTAAAGTAATATATTAAAAGATAAAATGATTCCTTTTTTTTTTTTTTTTTTTTATATTTAGGGAGTTTTTTAAATTTTATAGGAATATTAAGCTCTTTATTTACTGCTTCATTATTTCATGCTGTATATAACTATTCTATATATTTTGCATCGTTAAATATACCTATTTACCAAATTTTTTTTTTAACAATTTTGTTTATTTATTGTTTTCTTTCTATTCTACTTATGTTTTTTTCTGTAGTTAAAAGTATCATTTAATATGTTTATTTATTTTTACATTTACTTCATATATAAAAATTAGACAATTTTTGTTTTTTTCATATAATTATTTCATTTTTTACACTATTGTAAAATATGAAAATCATAATTTATCACATAAGAATAATGGATTTATATTTTCATCATTTTCATCATTTTTATCATTTTTATCATTTATGCTTTTCTTTATTTTCTATTTGCTAATTTTTCTTTTTTATTCATTTATACGTATAATTAAAAGTTTTCTTTTTTGAGATTTAATATATTTTCATTAATAACAAAAATAATATATTCTTATTAAGTTATTTGTTTCTTTTTTAGAATTATGTAACTGCTTAATTTTTTTAAATGCTTAATTATTTTTCTTTTTTTTGTTCATTTTTTTGTTCATTTTTTTTGATATATAACAACAAAAAAATTTATTAATACATAATTAAGAGTTAAAAATTGTTATTAAAAAGTATATTAAAATTTTTAATGAAATATTTTTAATAAAGGAAATCTTATTAAAAATTTTTAATAATTTGTAATAATTTTAAATAAGAAACATTTGAAAAAAAAAAAAAAAAAAAAAAATAATTTTTCATTAAATATAAAATAACAAAAACAAAAGTTTACATAAAAATATTATAAAAAAAAAAAAAAATAAAATAATAAAATAAAATAATGTAGAAATGATTTTATTATAAAATGTATATTAAAAAAAAAAAAAAAAATGTATTAATAAAATAGAATTAATAAAAAAATATATAAATAAATTCTATTAATATAAAAATTATATATTTAAATTAAGANAAAAAAAATTTTAAAAAAAAAAAAAAAAAAAAAAATAATTTTTCATTAAATATAAAATAACAAAAACAAAAGTTTACATAAAAATATTATAAAAAAAAAAAAAAATAAAATAATAAAATAAAATAATGTAGAAATGATTTTATTATAAAATGTATATTAAAAAAAAAAAAAAAAATGTATTAATAAAATAGAATTAATAAAAAAATATATAAATAAATTCTATTAATATAAAAATTATATATTTAAATTAAGATCAGTAATTACAATAACTACTTTCCAATTACCTGATGATTCAAATTGACCTAATTTTAGAGCGAACCAACATTTATTATATGGCACTGTAATTTTAAATATACCAATATCATCTTTATTATTTCTACATTCATTTAAAATATTTAATGCTTTTGTTAATGTTTTTATATATATAACTTTTTTTAAATCATTTTTACTATCTTCTTTAGACTCACTTATATTTTTTTTGTCTAAAATATTTTTTAAAACATAATTATTTTTTAGAGTGGTTATATTTTTTATTGTTATAGAATCCATTAAAAAAATAATATCACAATTTTTGTTATTAACTTGAAAGTTTAATTCAATTATATCAGAATGAAATTTAGAATAAGTGTTTAAAATTTTACAACACTTTTTCAATTTACAATTTACACATAATGAATGTTTATTCATTTTTATGTTTGGAAATTTAGTTATAGATGGATTAATAATTTCTATACCGCATTCATATTTCTTAAAAGCATCTGTTACATTACAGTGATGTTTAAATAACAAGATACATATTCCATTTTTTTCAAATAAATCAATAGTAATCTTTGTATTTTTAGAAATATTCTTAAAAATATCATATATTTGAAAAATATAAACTAATATAATTATTTCATTGTTAGAATTACTTTTCAAAATAAAATTTTCGTAAAATAAATCATTCATAGTAATTGTTATAAAAATTTCCACATGCTTCTTTTCATTACCAAAAATATATAAATATTTTTCTGAAAATTTAAAACAAAGAAAAGAATTTTCAATCGCATAAGAAGAAAATTCTTTAAGTCCCTTTAAAACATGTAAAAAATCATCTATACTGTCTTGTTTAAATTCTGCATGCAATTTCATTATATGGAAATATAAAATTTCAGTTCATTATTGTAAATTTTAATTATACTTCCTTATTTTTTTAATTTTGTATTTTTATAATTAGTATTCTTTTGTATGATAACTTTAATTCTTATTTTTATTAATTTTTGAAAACTATCTCAATTATTCACATGTATAAAAAATTAATATTTTATATTCCTCATTTTGTCAATATTTTTTTTGTATTTTTTTTTTTTTTTTTTTTTTTTTAAATATTTTTTTTTTCTCAAACAATGAAGTGTATATTTTATTTTATACATTTATTTATTTTTTTTTTTTATTTTTAATTTTTTGAACATTTATTATATTTTTTAGCTCTTTCCTGGAGCTTTTTTTTTTTTTTGAATTTTTTTAAAGGTGTAGTAGTAGTATTAATTTTAATTGTATTATTCAATTAAATAATACATTTTTTGTGCATATATATATGTTTTTCCATTTTTAAATTAAAAATTACAAATATTTTATAAAATTAAAATTTTATAATTTTTTTTAATATAATAAATATTATATATAGAAAAACACGGTTTCAATTTTACCAAATATCTTTTGATATTTATGTTGTTATATTTTTTAGACATACTATATTTTATTTTTACTTTTTAAATATCCTTCTTCTAAGTTATTCACTTGATTATTCCAAAATTCTTTTTCCTATATATAAAAAAAAAAAAAAAAAAAAAAAAAATAAATAAATATATCCTAAAAAAATTAATATATTAAAGCATGGTTAAATAAAAATAAAGTATTAGAAAAAATATGAAGTGGATCAAGTATATTTATTTTTATTTTGTTCGTATTTACTTGTTTTAATTTTTCAATTTTTTTTCTCAAATTCAATAATATTGCTACATCAGTTCTTAATACTCTACATAAAAAAAAAAAAAAAAAAAAAAAAAAAAAAAAAAGTTTAAAGAATTTTACATTAATATTTTAACATATAAGAGAAAAAAAAAAAAAAATTAAAATAATAAAATGATTATAATTATTGTACCCATATAAAAAGCAGATGCTTTCGGTATATATTGTCGGTTTTTCTATATTATTATCTTTCAAGTATGCGTCTAACTTATCAAAATAAGATACATCTATTTTAAGTTTTTGAAAATAATATCTAGCACTATATACATTTCTTTCTTCTTTATCATCTTCGGGTATTTTATTTATCTAAAATAAAAAAAAAAAAATCATAAAAAAAAAATATTTAAAAATTAAAAGATAAAAAATTATATATATATATATATATATATATATATATATATATATAGAATGTATAAATTATTTTTCCTTATTATTACTGGAACAATCTCATCATTTGTCAATTCGAATTTTTTTTTCAACTTTTTCATATCAGAAGCTTTTTTTAATTCATGTTTTATTTTATTTTCAAATTTCTTAATATTTTCCATAGTTGTTTCTTCTAGCATTATGTCTTTTTTAGACACTATGTATGTTTTATGTAATAAATTTTTTCTTTCTATATCAGCTTCCATGTTATAAGTAAATTTGATTAATGGATGTTTTGCTTTTCCTTCTTTTAATTTTAATATATCATTATTATTTTTTATTTTTTTAGATTCTTCTAACTTTATTTTTTGATCATATGTATCTTCAATAATTTTCTTAGAAACACTGTAAAATCTATCCTTTAATTCTTCTATTGTTCTCTTGTATTTATTATCATAAACATCATAAATTATTATAAAATGACATTCGTATTTTTCGCATAAATCAAATAAATAATCAGTTTCTTCTTTAGTCCATTTCATATTCATATTTTTTATCTCTCTATTATAAAATTCATCATTATATTTTACAACACTTATTTTTTTATTAAATCGTTCAAAAGAATAATCATCTTCTACATTATTTTCATTAAATAATTTTTTATCATCTTTATAACCTATTTTTTTCCATTTCCTTAATATCAAATCGTCGTATCTACATTTATTCCTAAATTTAATCAATCTCCATATACTAACATTCTTATTATTAAACTAAAAAAAGAAAAAAAAAAGAAAACAAATAAAAAAAAAGTAAAATAATAATTTTCTTATAATGAAATACTTTTTTATTTAAAAAAATATAAATAAAATATAAATAAAATATAAATAAAATATAAATAAAATATATATAAAATGTATATAAAATATATATAAAATATAAATAAAATATATATTTTATATATATAAAATATAAATAAAATATAAATAAAATATATATAAAATATATATAAAATATATTATAACGTTTATTATTTTAGAAGAGGTAGGAAGTGAAAAGAGGTTGTCGTTTTCCTTTAAAAAGTTTAATTCTTTTTTGCTTTTTTTTTCTTTTTGTTTCTTTTTACTCTTAATCTTTTCTACATTAATACCAAGCATATCATATATATGACTCATTTTTATTAAAAAAAATTAAAAAAAAAAATATATAAACTAAAAAGTTAAAGCTTTAAAAATCCAAATAAGAGACAAAAAATGAATAAATGTATAATAATTTATTTTATGTATCAATTTTATAACAAAAAAAAAAAAAAAAAAAAAATTAAATAAATAAAATTTAAAATAAAAATAAAAGAATAAATAAAATAAAATAAAAAAATAAAGATTAACTATATTTAAATAATAAAATTAAAAAAAAAAAATATTTGTGTAAGGAATTGTTTAAAAATTATTTTTCTAAGTTTTACTTTTTAATTCTTATAAATTCATTTTTACTTAGACATTTAAACTAAAAAAATATAATAAATCTTCTTGTATTCATTTAATTTATATTTTTAAATTCATATATATATAAAAAACATTAGATAAAAAAAAAAAAAAAAAAAAAAAAAAAATTATTATTGTGTTACTTATAAATATATTATAAATTATATATTGATTTAATAATTATTTATTCCTTATAAAAATTTTTTACAATAGTAATTTAAAACAAAAAAAAATAAAATTTAAAGAGATAAAAAAAATTCTTAAAAATAATTGCAAGTTAAAATATTTGCTGCAATTTAAAAAAGAAGAATACAATATATAAAAATAAAAAAAATGAAACGAATTAAAATTTTAAATACATAAAAAAAAAAAAAAAAAAAATGAGAAAATGCTCATATTTTTATTAATCATCATTTTGATGATTTATTTACAAAAAAGTTTTGTTCATTGTATTAAAAAAAAAACTTTTTTTTTGAAGGTAAAAAAGTGTTATAACATATTATCTATAAAAGAACAGCCGTTAAAAAAAAATAGAAATATTTTGTTGGTTCAACGCGATTATAAATTAAATAAAAAAGAAAATGTATTATGTGAATTTAAAATAGATAATGTAAAAAAAATACAATTTTATAATTTATTTAATTTCAATTTAATTGATGTACTTATTATTTTTAAGTTCCTAATGCAATTAAAAAAAATTATTTTATACAAGTATGATAACAGCATTTCAATTAAAATAAAAAGACAGATGATAGAGAAGAATTATAAATACCATGTAGACTGGTATAATAATATAAATTTACTTGATGATTTTATCGATTTTCTTAATAAGTATTTATTAAAAAAAAAAGATTATAAAATATTATTTAAGAAGTATATTGATGATGAATTAAATAGAAAAAAAAAAAAAAAAAATAATATTATTTATAACACATTAAGCAGAAACAATAATAATGATAATATAATAACTAAAGAAAAGAGAAAAAAAAAGAAAATTTATAAATATTTAAAAAGATGTGTTTTAAAAAGAATCATAAAAAATATATCTATCAATATAAGGAACAAAAATTATACAAATAATAAGAATGATAAAAGTTTTTTAATTAATTTTTATATAAATGACAATCATTTTTGTATTTCATCTTTTTATAAAAAAATAAAAGGAATTTATTATACTTATAGAAGCGTAGTTTATTATAAAGAAAATTACATTAAAAAAGTTGTGGCAATAATAAATCTTATATCTTATAATAAATCATATTATGAAATTAAGAAAAATTATATAATTATTAATTCTTTTTATATAAAATATTATGTGAAGAATATCCTTAATAAGTTTTTTTCTTTACATGAAGAATTTTTAAAGAAAAAATTTAAAGGATTAAAAAAAAATTTTATATATGTATCGCCAATTAGAAAATATGTTAATAATTATTGTGAAAAAATTCAGATGAATTATTTAGAAAAAAATATAGAAAACAATAATACTATTAATACAAATATATATAGAAGTTTTAACAATATTATAAAAATTAAAACAATGACGATATACTTAAATGGAAAGTATTTTAAATCATTTCCTATTATTTTAATTTATAATATAAATAATAATAATTTTTATTTAAATAATTTCTTTTATTTTAATATTGCAAAATACGATATAAACAATTTATGTATTCTCAAAGAAATATATTTAAATAATTTAACTTCTTTTCAAAATAATAAATTTTATTATATAGATGATCAAAATATTATTTTAAATAATGATAACATAAATATAGACATTAATTATATTTATCTTTTCTATTTTTTATATTTTAATGAAGAAAATCTATTTTTACCAGATAAAATTAATCCAACATTTTGTTTTTATTCTTTAACAAACAGAAAAAAAAAAAATTCAAAAATAATAAAAAAAATTATATATAAATCTGATAAAAATTTTATTAATTTTGTTTTTTAAAATATTAAAATTCATAATATAAACTTTGCTTACATTACAATTTTTATAATAATGGTTTATTATGTATAAAACATATAGATTTTCATAGGTATCTTTATTTATCTTATTTAATAATTTGTTTTTTTTTTTTTTTTTTTTCTATTTATCATTAATTTTTTCTATTCTTAATATACATATTTTTTTCATTTATCTTTTTAAATTTTTTTTTTTTTTTTTTTTATGAAATAATAAAACCTTAATAATAATTAATACATATAAATAAAAGAAGTATATAATTAGAAAAAATAATATTACTTTTCGTATACAATTTTTTGTGATTTTTTTATATAGATTTTTTTATATAATCAATAATAAAATTGTTTATAAATTTATAATCCAAACTGAATTGCGAATTTTCATTTACTTCCTTTTTTAATATGCCTATAATTCTATTTTTAAAATTTTGTTCATTTAAAATGTTTTTGTCTTTATCTATTTTTAAATATTTTAAATTATCATCAATTAATTTTTTTAAAATGCATTCAAGTTCTTCACTGTTTATATTTTTTAAATTTTCATAAAGAAACTTTTTTTCAAATCCATGATCAATGTATTTGAATAAAAATTTTTTAAGAAAGCCATTATCTAAATTGTTTTTTATGAAATAATTAATAAGAAAACATAAATCTTTTGGTTTTATTAGAATATTTTTTGATAAAATTTTTTTTTTTTTCAATACATCTAATAATATGTTAACAATAAAATTTGAAATATTTTTTTCATCTTGAAATTTTAAGCATTCATTGAAATAATTGTATAAAAAAGGATCATTAAAAAATACATAGAAGTATTGCTTTGACCACTGATACTTTTTTTCATCTTCATATATTTTTATTTTATAATTAACATAAAAGTTTAGTAATTTAATTACTTTTTTGTTTATTTTATATTCAGGTATATTTCCTTCGTGAACATAGTTATAGAATTCTTTTTTCCTTAAAATAAAATGTTTGTTATCTAAATAGCTTTTTGTATATATATCATTTACTTTTTTAACGTTGTTTTTATTTTCTTTATTTTCCATAATTAGGTTTATAAAATTGTTTTTTTCTATTTCTATATAATTTCTAATTTTTCTGAAACTATTAATATTTTTTATTTCAACTCTATTATAATTTATATTATTATATTCAAAAGATATATTTATATCTGATCTTATGTTTTCTTTATTACCTACACAAACACCTAAAAGACATACTTTATTTTTTATTTCTTTCAGCAAATTTATACAATCATCACTATTCATATAATCCTTTTCTATAGTTATTTCAGCCAACGGAATACCACATCTATTATAATCTAATAGGATATTTTTATTTAAGAAATTTTTCTCATACATATTTTTATCTAAATTCTGTACATATTGTTCATTTTCTTTTTGATCATCAAATATGTTCAAATTTGATTTTTCTTTTTTTTTTTGAGAAAAATAATTATTAACAGTTGAATTAATATTTAAAGAGTATGCTGACATTATTTCATTGCAACTTTCTTCATTTTTATTACCTTCATAATTTTGTAAAATATATTTTTCTTTTAAATTATTCTGTAAATTTTTGTTATTTTCAAGAATATAGCACTTACTTGTATCCTCTTCTAAGTGGATACTTTTTATGAGAAATTTTTTTTTATTTATATTTATAAATCCGTTTGTTCCTATTGGTTTTTTTTTCTGAGTAATTTGATAACCTTTTGGTAGATCATAATAATTATAAATTTTTCTGTCAAATTTAATATACTGATTTAATCTACAATTAAAAATTATGGATATTAGATATGTGAATAAGACAGATGTTATATTCAATATATTTAAAGAACCCACTTCACCTATACAAATATTGCATATATATTTATTTGGTTTAATAATATAATTATTATCTTCTATATCAACTGTTTTATTTTTATTAGTAATTTGATTATTCTCACCCTCTTTAATATTATTTTCTTCATTTGTATCTTTCTCTATATTTCTTTTTAACATGTAATTTAATAAATCTTTTTTCCCCTTTTCTATTTTTTCATTTTTTAAAATATTTTCATTCAAATAATTTATTAGATCAATATGATTCTTTTCGTAAGTTTTTTTACTATATAAAGATGAGACATTAAAGCAGTTACAAAACACTTTATATTTTGTGCTTAACTGTATATGAATTTCTATCCCAATTTTACATTTAATATTTTTTTCAACAGTTTCTTTTATTTCAATATTTTTACATTTTCTATTTGTTTCAAGGTTATCTTTTATATCAATATTATTATTTGTTTTTTTTTTCAATATGAATAAATTATTTTTATGATTTATCTTATTTATTCTAAAACATAATATGAATAAAGTATGAATAAAAATATTGAAATAAAACAAAAATATATAAATAATCATTATAAATAAATGATAATTTGTTTTTCTCTCTATTTTTTAATTAATATATATTTATGAAGATTAAAAATGCAAGTGGTACATTTTTTAAATCTCCAATTTACTCTTTTTAAATATTTCACATTTTTTATTATAAAAATTTTAAGAAATATAAAAAAAATAATTATATTTTAGAATTATTCTCATTCTATATTACAATTTTATTTATTTTTATTTTTTTAATATTTAACTTCATATAATCATATGTATAAAATATTTTTTCTTTTTTTAGCATTTTATGTCTTAATAATTCATTTTTTTAAGAAGTTTATTTATTATGTATATTTATTTTTAATTTTAATTTTGTTTTTTTTATTTTTAATTTTATTTTTATTATTTTCTTTTTTTTTGAAATTCAATCTTTTCCTTCTAATTTTTTTTTTTTTTTTTTTTTTTCATAATATATATATATATATATATATAAATATATGTATATATATATGTATATATATATATATATATATATTTATATTTTATGATTATGAATTTTTTTTAATTGTTTTTATATTTTGTTTTTTCAACTTCTACATTTAATAAATACTTTTTTCTAATTTTTATAATCACAGATATTCTAATTTTATTTTTTGTATTTTTAGAGAGACTTAACAATATGATATATAAAAAATAAAATGAAAATTCTTTAAAAGAAAAAAATTGTAAACAATTTTCTAAGTATTGTTAAAACTTACATATATTCCAATTAAAATATGTTCTTTCGGATATTAAAAAATTATAAAATAACTAGTTCAATAAAAAGAGAAAAAAGTAAATGTATTTTTTTTATGTACTTTAAGAAAAAGAGCTTAAGTAGCTCAAAGAAAAATGATAACTTTTTGAAGAATTTATGTAATAAAAATGTTATTAATAATTTAGATTCATTAAATATTATAGAAAATTTAAAATATGTATCTGATAATAATGTTAACAAAGATGTTGTTAAAATTTATGTGAATAGAATAAAATTACTAAATGAAAATTGGAATTTAAATAAAATTTATTACATTTTAAAAGCTTTAAAAAAGTATGAAATATATGATGTTGTGTTAATAAAAAAATTAGAAAATATCATTGATCAAATAGATTTATATGAAAAAGCAGACATAGATTATTTTGAAAATATATATATTATAAGAATATCATATATATTACAAACTTTTTATTATTTCAATCATACAAATGAAAAAGTTGTGAAAAAGCTAATTAAAATTTTAAATAATAAATTGGATTATATAATTTATCATAATAATTATTTCAACAATTTTTTATGTAAATTGAGACAAACTAATAAAAATGAAAACAATAATAAATATAATTTAAATATTATCATTAATAATGATAATAATTTGAAATTTGAAAAAAAAAAAAATGAAAATATTTTTGTGAGGAATATAAATTTTAATGAGATATATCTTATTCTAAATGTGTTAAAAAAATTAAAATTCGTAAATAAAGATTTTGTAAATAAGCTAAAATTTTTGTATTATTTTAACCACATAGATGTTGATAAAACAAATGAAAATGATTATAAATATATCACTTTATTATTTAATAGTTTTTATGAAAATACAGATAATTATTTACTAAATATTATGACATTATTTTTATCAAAATATACAGATATGCATAATATTCATGATTTAGTTCTAATTCTTGTAACAGTTTATTATTCTAAGATTGAAAAAAAGGAAAATGAAGCTGAACTTAGTAGCACCAAAAAAAATTATAAAATAAAATATCCACCAAGTGATGATATAATTAGTATAATTGAAAGTATAGCCTTTTTAAGTGAAGAACAAAAAAAAAATCTTAAATACATTCTTTTTTGTATATGCAGATGTGGTGTAAAACGAGATGATTTATCTGAAATTATTTATGATAAGGTTTTAGCTTTACTGAATCTTAAATATCAAAATGATTTAAATAAAAGAATTTCTAATTTTTCAAGAAAAGAAAATGGAAAAAGTGAGAAAACCTTTAAAACGAGTGAAGATACTTCTTGTAAAAATAGAATTATTAAAAATATTACGAATGATATGCAAAGTTTAAGTGAATTAATAAAAATTTCTAATTACTCTTCAAAAGAAGTAGATATATTATATTATATATATATGAAAAATTTTGTAGAATATTTTAATATAGAGACTATATTAAATATATTTAAAAGTTTTATTTTTGTGTATAACATGAGTAATGAATCAGTTAAGAATTATAATATATATTTAAAAAAAAGAAATAGAAATATATTATGTCATAATTTAAATAATTTAATGAATATTGTTATTCTAATAATTACAACAAAATCCTTATATAGATTATATAATATAAGTAATATAAATAACTTAAGTTATGTTCTTTATTTTTTATATCAAATAAGCAATATTTTTGAAAATAAGATATATGAAGAATTATATATAAAAAAATTGTATGATTATATAAATAATGTTTTAATCATAAAGTTAAAATTTATTTTAATGGAAAATGAAGAGAAAAATGTAAATAATATTTTTACATATAGTAATTTAGAAAAAAATGATGAAAATTGTAATAATGGGGCTATTAATAATTTTATTAATTTAAATGAATATTCACACAAAAAAAATAAATTGTATTCAAAACAAAAATATAATAATCATAAAAATAATGATTTATTAAATAATGATGAAAATATGTATGATGGAATAGTTAATGAAGAAAGTTGTAATAACAAAAATGGTGAAGAAGATATAGTTGATTCCTATTGTATTTTATTTAATTTGTATAGTAAAAAAGGTGATAACAAAAACATACAAATTATGTTATTAAAAATATTACAAAGATTACAAATAGAAAATAAAAATTTTCAAACAGGAATATACGTAAATTTATTAAACTCTTTTGCAAAATTGAAGTATAGAAATATGAAATTAATTGAAATATGCTTAAAAAGAATTGATGAGAATTCAGAAAGTTTAAATTTTTATGAATATATAAATTTGTTAATATCACTATCTAAATTAAATATATTTGGAATTAATTTAAATATATATAATGCATTATTTTCCTTAAAAGAAAATAATATTAATAGTAATTGTAAATATATAAACAAAATATTTATAAATGAATATAATGGTGTAAAAAAACTGAACAATATAAAAATTGTTTATAAATTGACTAATATCTTTAAAAAAATAAATGAAAACATAAACAATTTTGTTTTTTTTCCTAGTTTTAAAATAATTAATATTATACCAAATATATTAAATACTTACACCATATTAGGTTTTGATAAAATTCATTTTAAAAATATAAATAAGTTATTAGAATGTTTTTATGATTACATTTTTAATTATTTTGAAGACTGTAAATTAAACGGAAAAGATAACAATAATATTATTGATAATCCAAATAACAATAATTATAATGAAATTAATTATAATATGAATAATACATTTAACAAAAATCATTATTGGTATTTCAGTGAAAAAAATAATATAATAATAACAAAAGAGAATAATTATAGAAAGTTATATTTACCTCTTCAATGTTTATATCAATTATATATATTCAATATTTATTTTAATTTATATATAAAATATTTATTTAATTTTTACAACGATAAAGATAATCCTAATGTGTTAATGAACGATGAAACAACAGAAGATTCAAGTTGTTTAACAAATTATTTACATAACACAAATTTATATTCAATGAGAAAATCAAATATTAATGACACAAAAAATCATAGTTTTTTTAATATAAATAATATTTTAAGCGAAAAAAGTATACAATTGTTAAATAATATAATTTTTTTTGTTAAGTATATTAACAATTTTTACAAAAATGATAACTACAAGAAATATAATCTTTATATGGAATACTTAAATAACTATAAGAACAATGATGAAAAAAGTACTATAAGAAAAAAAAATAGTCAATTAATTGAAAATATAAAAGGTTTTGAAATTCATGTTAAAATGGATAATTCAAAAACAAATCCTTCAAGTTTTCATAGAGATGTTTTTTCTATTTTGAAATCATTAGGAGTAAAAAATATAGAATGTGAAGTAATAAACAAATAGAGATACAAAATAAAATTATCACTTTAAAAAGTTTCTTTTAACATAATTTTTTTTTTCTTTTTTTTTTTTTTTTTCAGGTCCCATTTCTTGATGGAATATACACTATTGATATCATTATAAATAATTCGGTAATTATATATATATATATTTTATTTTAATTAAAATTAATCTATTAATATATAAATAAATAATTTTTTTTTTTTTTAGATATGCATAGAAATTAATGGTAACAATCATTATTATTACGATAGTAATATGAAACGATCTTATGAAAAATTAGACTCTCTGAATCTTATAAAATATTATTTACTAAGTAAAAAGTATAAATTAATTATAGTTTCAAACTTCGAATGGAACCATCTGAAAACAGTTGATCAGAAAAAAGAATTTTTGAAGAAAAAAATAGAAATATAAAAAATTATTTTAGCAATATAATATTAAGATGAATGTAAATAAATTTAAATTACATTAAACGAATAACTTAATAGAAATATATGAACTTTATTTAAAAATGATGAATAAAAATTTTAGGCAAATTCATATAAAAATATATTAATGATATTTCCTTTAATAAATTTATACCCAAATGATAAGTTACAAGGTAATGTTAAGAAAAAGAACATTTATGAAAAAACATAAAAACATATTAAAATAATTTTTAAAAAGATAAAAAAAATTTATATAATTTTATAATAAAAAAAAATATTCGAAGAAATCCATTTTTTCATTTTTAAAATTTTTTACAAATTTCTTTTTACATAATAATGATATATTGGTATTTTTCGTTCATACGAAATGTTCTAATTTTATTTAGGTTTTTTTTTTTTTTTTTTTTGTTTTTTGCTTATTCTTATTAGTTTAATTTATTACTTTTTTGCAATTATATTTTCAGTAAACATTTGAATATTATCTTTGTCATTATCTACTGTATTATTACCTGATAAAAAATTAAAATTACAGTGTAAATATAACCTATATACTTTTGTCTCAACATTTATAAATCTTAATTTTTTGTAAATCTTTAATGCAATTTCATTCTCTACATTTAAATCACATCTGTTACAATAATACAAATATTTTAACATATATATACATATATACATAATTATTAAACCTAAGCATTTATTTCTATATTCTTTATGAACTACAAGTCTTTCAATTCTTGAATCAAATAATCTACCCATATGAAATAATAAGTACACTTCTATATAACCTACAATATTTTTATTTTTTAAGTCATAATTTTGTAATTCAATGTTTATATTATTTGAATTTAAAATTACTTTTCTATCATAGTTAATGTTGCATTTTTTGAAATATTTGTTATTTTTGTTTTTTCCTTTTCTTATTATTTCCTCAATATCTAAAATACATGATTTTTCAAATTTTAAACTATTTAAATTATTAGAATTAACATTAGATTTATAAGTATTATCTAAGTCATATATATATAATACGTATGGATAATAAAAAGATTTTCCAAGCATTTCAAAAAATAAATTTTCACCAAAAAATAAATTGCATGCTGTAACATCTCTTAACATATTATTACATATAATTAAATATTCATAATAAGTTGAAATAATTTTAAATTTAAATTTATAATTATTGAAACGAAAAACATATTTATATAATACCTTCTTTTTATTTAATACGTCTAAATAGGATTTCTTAAATGAATCATAATCATTTATTACAGGTATATTATTCTCCTTAGTGTTCTCCATTTTTTAACTTCTTGTGAGAATAAAAGAAATGTTAATAAAAATATATTTAAAAAAGAAAAATATATTATAAAAAATTAAAGTGCTATATTTATAAAAGGATTCACAGAAAACATATTAAAAACATAATTTAAAAAAATAAAGAAAAATAAAATAAAGTTTTTTTCAAATACATTTTTTAAAAATATCTAATAATAACATGCAATGTTTATTTTACTATTATATAAACAGATTTTTATAGTATTATTGTATTATATTTCTTTATTCTTATGTTTTAAAATAGGAATGCTGATACACATTTTTTTTTTAATATTATAGCGGCAATTAAAATTTTGTATTTTTCTACGAGTATCATATTTCAGGTTTCAAAAAACATACATATTTATTTAAATATTAAAAATTATACTTTCTTATTGTTATTTTAAATAAAATATACTCAAAAAAGTAAAACAAAAGGAAGCAATAAAAGAAATAAAATTATCTCATTAAAAAAAAAGAAAAAAATACAAATAACAAATCTTTATTAAATAAATATATAGATGTAAAATATACAAAAATATAACTATTACTAAGATGAAATTTACTTATGTGCAATAAAAAAAATTGACGCTATCAAATCATATATGCATTTATCTTATAAAGAAACATGATATTTTTCTTGAGGTATTACATTAAATGATTACATTTTTAATTAAAATAAAATGTTTCAAAATATTTCAAATAAATAAAATTATTAAAAGCATAATAATTGTTAGAGAAAATACTTAATAGAAATTCATGATATCTTTTAAAAAATTAATTTTTTTTTTAACTTTTTTTTTAAAAAGTTATTATATAATTCTTCATCCTAATTATATTTTATTTTATTATTTATTTTAGTTTTAAAATTTTATTACTTTATTTTTTTATTACTTTATTTTTTTATTATTTTATTTTTTTTTAAGTTATTGTAGTAATGAAGGAATTTTTTATTAACAAATTTTTATACAATTTATGATAATTATGAGAAAAAGATACTTTATATGGGACAGGAAGAGTTGAACAGAAATGCTCACTTCTAAATTTTGTTAATTCATTTAAAGTATATTTTTTTAATTCTTGTAATGTTTTAAATTTTATTAAAAGCTTTCCATAATCCCAACAAAGTAATAATTTTTTTTCAACTTTTGTTGGTATAATAAAACACTGCTTAGATTCGTCTAAAACATTTATGCAAAATAACTTTTCGTTTTTAAGAGGTGGTTCTTCGTCAAACAACTGAACATAATCAACAGAAGCAAATTTGTCCTTAGTATATAATCTATATACATTTTTTTTATAAGGTAAATTTGATTTTTTATTTTCATTTGTCATTTTAAAACATGGTTCATTATTAATTTCTACGAGTTTATATATAAGACCCAAAGAAGGTTGGGATTGACAGGTAATTAAATTTGTACCAATAGCAAAAATATCTATATGATGCTCTTGCTCATTTAAAAATTTTATAAATTTCTCATTAATGTCATTACTAACACAAATTTTTAAATCATAAAAAGGTACATTTAATTTTTTAGAAATATCATTAAATATCTTTTTACATTCATTTGATATATATCTTAAATCACCAGAATCAATTCTTATACCAATAGGTTTATATTTTATTTCATGAAGTGATAAGGCTACAATTAAAAAATTGAAAATCCCTGATCTTAAAGAATCATAGGTATCTATTAAGCAAATAAAGTTATTAGGGTTAACCTGAGCAAATGCAACAAACGCAGTTAATTCATTTTCTTTTGTGTACTCACAATTATATAGTTTATGAACTATATCTTTATTTTTATTTACAATAGTTAAAAAATCGTGATTTCCTAAGTATTTACTATTTAAAACTTCGTCATTTTGAAATGCTAATATAAATGAGTGAGACATAGTGCCTAATAAAGGAATGTCATACAAATAAGATGCATAAACATTTGAAGTAAAATCACATCCAAATGCTGAGTATTTTGAACCACTTAATGCGCCATCTGGACCTTGTGCTCTTCTACAACCAAATTCTGCGAGAGTTTTATAATTTATGGAAATTTTATGTTTTAAACTATTTGTTGCTATTAATATAGGATAATTTAATAAATTAATAATTGCACTTTCTAATAGCTGACATGTTAATAAATGACCTTCAACTATCATTATTGGCTCATTTGCAAAAACTATAGATCCTTCTTCCATACAATATATAGAAACATCTCTACCACTTACACCTGATAAATACTCTATAAATAAATCTACATCTTTATAATTGTGCATTTTTTTTTTTATAAATTCTAAATGCGCTTTAGTAAATCTAAAGAAATTAATATATTTAATGACTTCATAAATTCCTGCTAAAATAGCAAATTTTCCTTCAAAAGGACATTTTCTAAAGTAAATTTCAAATGTTGCTTTAACTTTATGTTTTTTTTGCCTAAAATACGTATATGCCATTATTAAATGATAAAAATCCATAAATAAAGCATTTATAGTATTACTTTGTGGTATATCTATTTCTTTATTTATTCTGTGTTCTATTAAGTAATTAAGACAAGCTACTGAAGAAATCATTTTATTATTTTCAACAGAAGAATGAACACCTTTATTAAAGCTTAAATTGTTGCTATTTTGTATTTTATCATTTATATTATAATCATCATTTGTTTTTACTTCATTTTTTACGTCATTATCACATTCCAATCCCTCTTTCAAATTACTACAATGATTATTAGTAACATCTCCTTGAGGATTTTCAATATTTGAAAAATTATCTTCTTTATATTCGTTACCCATTTGCATATCTTTACATTCTTCATTATTTCCTTGTTTTTTATTGTCAATGATGTTTCTTTTTTTGTTAACTTCACATTCGCTGTTCATGTAATTATAATTATTATTTTCAGAAAACTGTTTTGAGGAATAAATAACATTCTTTTTACTCGTTTTGTCTTTTATATGATTTTCATTAGTGTAGGTTGATATATCATTAAAAGTTCTCTTACTTTTTAATTCTTTTTCCTTTTTTTTTTCATTTATTTTTTTTTTTGAAATGACAAGTTCCTTTAATTCATTTTCTGTAATATTTACATCATCTATATATAGGCATTTATTTTCTTTATCAATTCTTATATGTTCAATCATGTTCAAATAAATATTTACTATTTTATTTTTTTCCTCTTCATTATTTAATGTAAATTCATTAGAATTAGAGTTTAATAATCGATTTTCATTAAAAATCATAGAATTACTTTCAGTATTCACAGGAACTTGGTCTTTTTTATTTTTAATTTGATTTTTCATTTTTTTTTACTATTCCTATATTTTTTTAATATTTTTTTTAATTAAAAAATTGAAAAAAAAAATATATGCTACATTAAAAAAAAAAAAAAAATAAAATAAAATGCAAATAAATATATGTCCTATTTAAAAGAAGAAAAAAAAAAAAAGATAATTTTATTTTTTTTAATAATATAATGAAATTTTATTGATTTAAAATGTAAAAAAAAAGAAAAATTTATACATAAAGAAAACAAGTATATAATAAAAATCTTGACAATAAAAACAAAAACAAAGAGTGTTTTTTTAAAATTTTTTTTAAGAATTTTTGAATATTGAAATATTTAAGGGATGAATAAAAAATTTTTAAATAAATAAATGAGTAAAATTAGCATATTTGCAAAACATTTTTTTTATAATTTTTGTATTCTATCAAATTATATTTTGAGAGATTATAATCACATATTAATATAATATTTTATGTATAACGCAAAAATGAGCTATTTCCCCAATAGTACCTTTACATTAAAGAATTTTTTGAAAAAAATAATTTTTTTGAGAATCATTACTAGAATTTTTTAATATATAAGAATTAAACTGAAACTTTTTTTGTTATTATAATAGAAATTATTAACAAAAATGAGCAAATAAATCCCGAATATTAAATAAACATTTAGACTACTTTTTTTTTTTAAAATATGGTAAATTTGGATTTCAATGTTTTATAATTTACTGACATTATATTATCCTTTCAAAGATGTATAAATACATTCACATTAATATCAACCTTAAGTATGAAAAAAAAAAAAAAAAAGTGAAAGATTTATATCAAAAAAACAAACTCGTAAATATTGAAAGTTATTATAAATATTTAAATTTAAATAATTCAAAGTTTCTACAATTTAAAAAAAAACAAATAACCTCTTAAAAAGGAGATTTTTTCCAAGAGAATTTTAAATAAATAAATACTAACAAGATGATTAAGCAAAAAAAATTTTAAAATAAAAGAAAATTTAAAGTGATTTCATATACATTTTTTATAATTTTAATGTTCTTCCAAGGTATATATTTTTAAGAAAAAAATTATTATAATGTATAAAGAAAAATATTTGTGATTTACACAAAAAATATTTCCTAATTGTTACTTTGCATAAAAATATTTTTGAAATAAACTAATTTTTTGAGAGTTATCACACGATTTTTTTAATATATAAAAATTATTAAATTGTAAAAAAAAAAAAAAATTTTTATTAATAGGAATTATTAACAATACAAAAATGAGTTGATATTGAAAATTAATAACATATTTTTTCTTAATTTTTTTTTTTTTTTAAATAGGATATAATTTGATTTCTATGTTAGTTTTCTAATTTATTGTCATTATATTATTTTTTTAAAGATATAATGTAAAATATATATTTTAATTAATATTATCCCAAAAATATATATATGTGTGAATTTGTCACATGTAAGTTAAAAAAAACATAAAATGTGAATGGTTCAAAAAATAAATGATATTATAAATGAAAATATTATATATGAATAAAAAAAAAAAAAAAAAAAAAAAAAAAAAAGATATATATAAAAAAATGATTTATATAAATATAAACATTTTTTTTGTAAAATTCAAATATTTAATTTTTAACGAAAACAGCAACATGCTTTTATATTAAATAATTTTTAATAAGATTTATATATATATATATATATATATTAAAATTATTTTTCATGACTTTTTCATATATTAAAATTTTTTTATTAATTTGAAAGAACACAAATTACTATGACAAAATTAGCATATAAATATAGATATCTAAGTAGTTATAAATCTCTTATGTTTAAAGCATTTCGGAAATGACTTTTTTTTGTTCTTCTGTTAATTTTTTAGGAAACTGAATTAAAAACTTGATGTAAAGATCTCCAAATTTATTAGTATTTTTAATAGGCATTCCTTTGTCTTTAATTTTAAGTATTTCGTTATGAAAAGTTACAGTTTGTTTACTTACATTGATTGGTGTACCACTAATATGGTCTATGTCTTTTGAAAACCCAATTAAAGCATCTTTTAAAGAAATTTCATAAAGTTGATGCAAATCGTTATTTTTTCTTTCATATATTTTATGTTTTTTTGTTTGAATAATAAAAACAATATCTCCATTTTCATAACCAATTTCTTGTTTCCCTTTTTTTTCAAAGACAATTTTATCATTAGTTTTCATTCCTTTTTCAATTTCTAGTGTAAGTTTAATAGTTTTTTCTTCTTTCATTCCATTTGGGCAATATGTACATTTATATTTCCATGCCTTTCCTCTATCAATACAACTTTCATCCTTTATTTTATTTTGCATAATAAAACCAGGTGCAACTTGTTGTGTAACTGTTTTATATCCTTTTCCGCTGCATTCTCTTCTCTTTTCTATGCAGTCATCACTCCTTAAGCAATTTATATCTCTTGTATAAAAAACAGAAAACAATTCACCATTATATAATTGTTCTAAATCTATTTCTATATTTAATATTAAATTTTCTACTTTTTTCTGTTCATCCCTTCTAAAACCACCACCAAAAAAACTTTCATAAATGTTAAAGTGATCTGAAGGGTCTTCTTCCATCTTATTACTCTCTAAATTTTTAGCTGCATTCAATCCATGATAATCATACATTTTTCTTTTTTCATCATCACTTAATATTTCATAAGCTTCTACTATTTCATTAAATCTATTATTAGAATTTTTATCTTTTGCTTTATCTGGATGATATTTTTTCGATAATTTTCGGTAAGCTTTTTTTATTTCATCTAAGCTTGCATTTTTTTGAACACCTAACACATCATATAACTTCATGTGATCATAGTCATCATCTTGTTCTTCATCATTATACCATGCACTAATAAATATTTTTGATTTTTCATTTATTTTTATAGTTTTAAAAATTAAAAATATTAAAAATACTAAAAAAAATTTACTCTTAATCATATTTATTCTTTTTATAATCAAACTAATAATTCTAATTTCAATTTGTTTAAACACATATATATATATATAAAGTCTTACACTACTATTTTTATTCTATATATCTAAATATTGATATTTAATAAAATTATAGTAATGTGTATTTATTTCTTCTTTTAATAATATTTAATATTCTGTTAATTTCAAATGGACACTTATAATGCTAATTACATTTAATTTTTTTTTTATATAAAGTATTGTTATTAGTAGTAATATAACTTTTACAAATAATATGTATTTTTCATAAAGTTATTTAAATTATTAATTTTTCCTTTGTACCATTATTATGAATGCTGCTAATATTTATTTTTCTTTTAACTTTTTTTTTTGTGCTATTTTTTTTTTTTTTTTATTATATTTAAAATGTTCAATTTTAATTTTCCATTTTTTTTTTTTTTTTTTTTAATTATATTTATCAATAAATTATTGTATTATTATAACTTATAGTGGCGATTTTACTAAAAAAATTATTCTTGTGTAATAAAAAAAATATATTCAAAATAAAAAAAAAAAAAAAAAAAGTATCATAAAGAATAATATGAATAGCATTGTTGAATGATTTATTATGCTAAACATGTAATTAAAATAATATAAAATAAACCATATTTATATAAATTAAGATGAAGGATTAATAAATTAAAATAAAACGTAATTTAATTAATAAAAGTAAAAATACAATTAAATTAGTGAAAATAAATTTTCGTTAATCAAAAAAGGATTATAGACCAAATAAAACATAAAAAAATACAAAATAAAAATTAGTAAATAGAAAAGTTATATTTTGATTTCTGAAATAAAAAAGTAAAATAGTAATTAAGATTAAAATTATTTTAAAAAAAAAAAGAAGATGATTTAATATTCCATTAATACATTCTTCTAAGATCTATATACTATTATCAATTCATAATATATATATATATATGAAGCTAATAACATTGATTATATTTTAATTTTACAAAAGATTTTATATTTTTGTGTTATATTTTATAATAGTAGGCAATGTAACAAAAATTCTTAAATTTCTAAAACTATGTATTTTTCTTAAGATTTATTACTTATATATATACATATGTGCATATATGTTTAAAGGAAGAGAAAATATAATTGGGGTAAATAAGATAAGAAAAATATGATATAAATAATTAAAAAAAATTATTTATAAAAAAAGTTATGTAAAAATGCAAAAAAAAAAAAAAAAAAAATTAACTCATATCAAAGATAAATGGATACATAAAAAAAAAGCTGTAATAATTTTTCTCTTTTTTATTATTGTATGATTTTTCTCAATATTCTTTAAATCATACTCCTTTTTTATTTATAATTAAATTTATATCTTTTATAGATATGTTTTGTTAGAAAGGTTCTACAATTATAAAAAATAAAAGCAAATAAATTAATAGTATTATAAATTATGATAATAATAACTGTATAATATAAAATTTTTGATAAAAATCACTCATTCTTAGATTTAATAAGTATAATTTTCTATTATACTTTGTTATGATTTTTTTTCTTTAATTTTAAATCAACTTGTCTTTTAGGATATATGATTTCATAAATATCAAATTCTATTAAAATTATTTTATCAGCAAAAATAAAAATTCTTATTTTTACTTCTTAATGTTATATTAAAAAAAAAAAAAAAAAAAAAAAAAAAAAATAAATAATATTAAATTTAATAATCTTAAATAGACTTAATATTTATGAAAAATCTCAAATGATATTTGAAGAAAATTTAAAATATTATAATAAATATTTAAAATAAAAAATGTTTGAAAAATGATTTTTAAAAAGCTACATTGATCAAAAAACATATATATGTGTACATTTAACTTTTTAAAAAAATATAAAATTCAAATATTGTGTAATTTATATTGTTTTATATTAATAAAATTTAACAAAGTAAATTTTATTATAAACAAATAATATTTCATGAATATTTTATTTTTAATTGATCTTTATTTTTCTTTCTTTCCTTTTTTTAATTTTTGTTATATTTTTTGTTTAAAAGCAATTTGATATATTTTTTTTTTTTTTTTTTAACTTTGTTCTCCATTTAAATCCTAATTTTTTATTCATTTTCCATCGTATTTATATGTAAATATTTTGCTTCATAAAATATTTAACTTAAAAAAATAATTCATTGTTTTTTAAATCATTTTTAACTTTGGCTTAACATCTTTTTTTTTAAGCATTTATTAAAATTTTCTTTAAGAAGATACATGAAAAAGTGTATTTGACTCCGTTTTAGTTTATATGAATTTTGAATATTATTCTTTTATTTAATTAATTTTTATTTTTCTCCTTTTGTAAAGCATTATGATTTTTATTAATAATTTTTTTTTTTTTTTACACTAATATTAATTTTTAATAGAATGAATTAAACAGTTAGAATTAAAGTGATATATTTATGTATAAAATTTAATAAAATGATTGAGAATTTTGGAAAAATTATTAAGGTGTTATATATGATATTTGAGAAAAATAATTGATTATAAGGAAAAATTATATATAACATTCTTACGAAAATACTAATATAACAAAGGAAATATTGTAGAATTAAATTTAAAATATTTAGTTTTTTCTTTTTCTTTTTCTTTTTCTTTTTTTTTTTTTCTTTTTTTTTTTTTTTTATCTTGTCAAACACCAATTTTATAAATTTTTATATGCACATGAGCAATATTAAATTAATGGAGAAAAATAGATTCATTACGGTGAAAAGAAAATGAGTTTAAAGAGTAAAAATAGAAAAAGTCTGAAGAACATGCAAAATTAATCTTTTCTATTTTCTTTCCACAATTTTGCATAGGAGTGAAAGTCTACTTAATATTGTAGTGTGTAATATAAAAAAAAAAAAAAGCTAGTAAGTGAATTTTTTAATTATTTTTTATAATTTGAAGAGTACTTCTAACATATTTTAAAAAATATTGAAAATTATTAAACTAAGAAAAAAAAAAAAAAAGAAAAGGAGAAAAAAAAAAAAAAAAAAAAAAGAAAAAAAAAAAAAAAAAAAAAAAAAAAAAAAAAAAAAAGAAAA